ATGTTTCTTAAGGACACTGAAGTTTTGCTTCCCCTTTTTCTGCAGTGATTATTTTAAAAACCAATCCAGTTCTAGAAAACTATATTTCTAAGGAATCATTCAAAATCACAATTATGTGTGCCCATTTTCTCTTTTAGAAAGCTTTGCCAGCTAAGTTATCCTCCACATAAGTTTCCATTGAAACTTATCAGGTAACTCTCTTGAAACTTGCATACATATTCAATATGAAGGCACAAGCCTCTTGGATATTCTGTGAAATATAGATCTTTAGCTTCATAAACCTACCCTATCTGTAATATTGCAAATATGAAATGTTCACAGATAATACCTCAAGTTAAAAACACTCAATTTGAAAGATAAGGTATGTCTGTTTTTACCAGGCTTCTGTTTTCCTCCTTTTATTTCCTCTTTAGATTTTGATTCAGTAACAAAATGTGAAAATTGCCTCTTTTATGTTCACTCAAAAGTACTGTGTGTACTCAGCAACACCAGATGATGGGTGGCTGATCAGAGAATCCAGAGTCTAACTGGCATCTGGGACCAGTTCCTCTGTGAATGGGACATAACTCAAGGAAATATTTCTTTAAGATTCTTGTGCTGTGAAGCCTTATTTGACCAAAGTAATCCTTCCCTGCTATGACGGAGAGCTTATTTCATTCCCAAGAGTTTCTTCTTTTAATTTTTTTTTTACTTTCTTTTTGTTTTTAAATAGAACTGTGTACAAATGCACACAGTGTACTTCTCCAGACAGGTAATAGGACACAGTGATGAAAAGTGTTTGCAATATTCTCCACCCACCCATATCCCTGAATATATATCCACCCAGAGGTGTGTCATCATGTCACATGGGGACAACTTTCTCCTTGGCTCTCATTTTATTACAGCTGAAGCAGCAGTGAAACGTGGCTGGAAAGATTTAGCATTGCCTCCCTGTGAGCAGGGAACAATTTCCATATGTGTGGCAAGCTGAACCCTCCTAGCAACATGTAGGGGTACAAGGACCACCTGGGGGAAGTAAGTCAGTGCTTTTGTTAGGGCCAAGGGGAGTTCCTAATTTCCCTCAAGGACCTACCTGGAGGCACAAGGGGTTAAAGCACAGCACTGTGAAACTGTCCACAGCCTCTGCAGCATGAGTTACATCCCTGATATCCCACCAGATACCCACATGGAGCAGCAGACCTCTCCTGTCTCACCCGCTGCTCCCCTCAGCAGTGTATTTTAGTCAGTCTACCTGTTCTGCTCCCCACTCTGTCTCTGGTGAATCCTCTCACCCCCCACATCTCTGGCCTGTACCCCAATTCTTGTGTGCATAAATAAATCTTTAAAAATAAATAAATAAATAAATAAAAATTTTAAAAAAGGATTCTGACCAAAGAAATGTGTAGCAGCAAGGGTTATTCTTACAGAAGTGAAATAAAGAGGAAGTAAGTAGTAAAGAGGGCCTGCATTTTCATTCCAGTCATAACCGAACAATTTTTGAAATCAGAGCATGTCGGTGGACAGACACCAAAAGCAAGACAGAAATTTCTTCAAACAAGTCTTAAAGGACATACATAATACAGACAAAAGTCCATATTAATCTTAACTTTCTGAACCATGAAAAAATTTCTGGTTTACTCCTAAATCTGACTCCATCTCTACCCCAAGAGTTATTAATAGAGGATCCTTGAAATCAATTCCAATAAGGAAACTAAGAAATTCAACATAAAACATGACTTGTTCCAACACTACACCAAGTAAGGATAGCTATATCCTTATACATCAAGTACCTACATATGCCAAAAATGGTGCTCATGGTTATAGCTTCAAACCAAACACATGGAATAGGTGATCCTATTATTCCTATTTGAGCTCTTGAGAAAAAATTAGAAACTTGGAGTGGTTGTGCATTTCCCAAGTCACATTGAAAGTGGTGAGGCAGAACTCAAATTCAGACTATCAATATGTCCACCGTGCCTACTCTTTACCATTCACTACTCTGTCATCAGCCACCACCAACATACAATTCATTCTCAACTTTTGCCTGCCCCGTTGTGCCTGGATGTCTTATTTTTGTTATTATTCAGTTTTCAAGGGATCAACTGTTCTTGCCTCTAGGTAAAATTGTCCTGCGGATTAAGTATCATTCTTATCATCTGCTTCCCCTTAACAAGTTGTATCTACTTCCCCTTTCATTTTCTTCTCTACCTTGCACACTTCATGCTTTTCCTTTCACTGTTTTTTTTTTTTTTGTTTATCTGTTTATCCTACTTTCATATTTCTTCTACCTAGTTCCATTGCTTCACTTATTCTCATTCCCCTGACCTTTCATTTTGACACTTTTTCCTGCACACACAGACACAGACACACAGACACACATTTTAGAGATCCTTAGGGTAAGCACTAAATCAAAAGTAAACAGTAAAAATGCAAGTTACAGTCTAGGAGAAATTATTCATCTTACAATGCACATACCTTACAAAGGACTCATGCCTAGAAAATACAAACAACCACCAAATTGCAATAAGTAAAACTGGATAAATATTTAAATAAGCATAGCACAAAGAAGATACACAAATGTTCGATAAGCATATTAGAAGACATAATATTACCACCCATCAAGGTATGATAAATTAAAATCAAAGCAAGCTGCTTCTACACATTTAGCAGGATGGCTAAAATTAAAAACAATGAGACTACCAAGTGTTGGTGAAGATGCAGAACAACTGGAACTCCCACATATTGTTAATGGAAGGGTAAAATAGTCATAACTTTGGAGGACTGTTGCAAAGTAATAAAGTAAACATATCCTTACTTATGACTCAGAAATTCCAAGAAAATGAATCTATATGTTCACAGAAAGATTTGTAGTAAAATATGCTGAGTAACTTGCTCATAATAGCACCATATAGAGATAAATATCTAAACAAAAACAATTCAAATGGTAGAATTCAGAGTACATATTATATTAGCCCACTTATATCAAAGAAGAGTCAAAATCATGAGTGATAGAAGTTATGAAATTGATGATAACATGGATATACAGGTAACATGGGTATATAAGTCTTTAAAAAGACTTATCAAGATGTTTACTTAAGATTTGCAAATTTCAATGCATGCAAATTATATTTTAAACAGCTTTTAAGTAAATGTATAGAAAACTAGGAGAGAAACACGGAAAGCTGTAATATTCGATTGGTTTCTTGCCAATTTATAACATTTCAAGTCATTAATAAATGCTCTCACTCTTCAGTAACAGTCAATAAGCAGCCAGCTGAGTGATCCTACCCTATATGAAAAACTAACTGGTGAATGAATTGCAGCTCCTTAGCATCCTAGATTTTACAATTCTGCTTTATGATAACTGAAAGTTTCTAGGGGTTGCTAAATCACAACACATACAACTTAACACTTCAGCAATATACAAAGAGAATTAGTGAATGACATGCACTTGAATATATTGATACAGCCTATTTAAAAATCCAAAATAGAATGATGGAAGTGTTAACAATTAATAAAAAAGACAAAAGCCCTGCTGAGCCCATCTCTTACCCCCAGCACTTTAGGAGGAAGCTATTAGCTGCTATCCATAGCACTCGTTATTGCAGGTCAAAGTTCCCTTCCAGAAATCAGTTACTCAGGATCACGCTGTCACTTTCTAAAGGTTAGCACAAGTCTCTAGACCCACTGTGTGACACTTGACAAATGTCTGGTGTACTGATACACAGGAAGAAAGAGCAAAATGTTATCATATTAAAAGAGGAAAACAAATCAAAGGGCATGGAAAGTCTCCATCACCATCAAAGATTTGCAATTGCTAATGTCTCAGTATAGGTTGAAAATGGGACCTGGAGGTATACTAGACATTATTAATGGGAAAACAGACTGTAGATAACATAGATAAAATAGTATAAATTTCTCACTAGCCCTGTCTTGATAACTGTGAAAGATCTGGGGTTTTCAGTCAACTTTACCATTTCAGTGATTTCCTCATATTTTTAAATAACAGATCCCTTGTACTAGTCAGAAGCAATTCAAGCAACTAAATTCATCATCTTAAAGGACAGTTACTGATCAAATTTCTTCTGATCACTACTTTCCTAATAAATTCTAGGAAACTCCATAAGACATCTCCCCTAGAAATGTCTTGAATTTGGTAAAGAGAAAGAATCCTACCACAGTATAAAAAATTGGTTGGTTCTTACAGTCTTAGTAAATGCTCAAGAGTCTGAGTACAGGCTCCTAGTTTTCTCCTCTTCATAGTCTATCCAACCTTCTTAAAAATGCACATGAGCAAAAGAATAAATAATAGAAATTCCACTATCCTCTGTTTCTTTCAAAAAAATGTTTTTTAATGGCATTATTAAGTAATAACAACTTTATTGGTAAGTAAAAGGAAAAAGGGTAAAAACACCTTTCCTGCAAAGCAGGAAATAGAAATGTTATTATGGGTATGTAACTTAGTGATTCTATGTTGACTAATGATAAATAAATTTGCTTCATGATGGGAACTAAAACAGTATTCTGGTAAGCAACAAGTTGAAGTGTCACAGGCCAAATTACTAGGCTCATGAATATAATTGTATATTTCCTTTGATTCTAATTATAGTACAATCTATTCCTGATTCCAAATTTGTTTTGCATCAATGAATATTGCCTACCTACTGTTTTCAGATATGTAGGTCTACATGGTAATTTGTCGATTAGTTCTCATTTGTTAAGAATTTTTCTATTGTTTTATGACCAATATTAATTTTCCAAGTCTAAGTTCTTTTTCCCAGATGCTTATTGCTGTTCACCACACATTTTCAACTTCTTGTAAAATTTTCACTAAAATGTATCCTTTTGAGATAGAAGCATTACCTGAGAAAAATCATCTTTCCTTGGCTTCTAGAAACCCCTCTTGCCTACTGCTTAAATCCAGCAATGAGCCACAAAATCGCAAAAGACCACAAATAACAATCATGCAAACAATCACCATGAAAATAAGAAAAGGAGCAATGTTGCCTTAGGGCACTCACCCACTGGAGTCTGCAGAAGTTATAGCAATCAGTGGCAGAATCTTCAGGGGAAGGCTGGTTGGTCTTTGAATGTTCTCTGATTCACTTTTCAAGTCAGCTTGTTCCAGCTGTCTGAAGGCGAGCGGGGGAAGCTGAACATTGCGGCATGAAAGCCTCCTTACAAGATAGGGCTCCATCCCTCGGAAAGGGTCTTCCTCTTCATTACTGGAATGAAGTGTTTCCTCAGAGGCCTAAGGCAAAAGTGTAAGAAAATAATCCCAGTGTTTATTTTTACACTGATAACTTTATATTTTTGGATAAAGAAATTAAGGGAAACACATATTGAAGACTAACTAGATGGCAATATGCATAGTCTGCATAATTTTCCTACCACCACAACACCCATGACATCACCATAGTCCCTTGTGCTCTTCCCTATCCTGTTTTGACCCCTATTACTCACCCTTTTCTGATTCCTCAAACCTATGGTTTACCTTTAAGTTTTGTCTTTTCCCTGATCCTTTGTTGTGTTCCCTAGTATTCCCCCTATAAATGAGACCATCCAATATTTTTCTTTTCCTCCTGACTTATTTTGCTTAGTGTAATCCCTTCCAGTTCCATCCATGTTGCTGCAAATGGCATGAATATCTTTTTGATGGCCGAGTAGTATTCCATTGTGCATATTTACCACATTATCTTTTTTTTTTTAAAGATTTATTTATTTATTTATACAAGAACTGGAGTACAGGCCAGATGCTCGGGAGGGTGAGAGGATTCACCAGAGACAGAGAGGGGAACAGAACCGGCAGACTGACAAAATACACTGCTGAGAGGAGCAGCGGGAGTGACAGGAATGGTCCGCGGCACCATGTGGGACCCTTGCTGGCTGGCCGGGATCAAACTCATGCTACAGAGGCTGTGGACAGCTTCACAGAGCTGCACTCAACTGCTTGCACCACCAGGGGAGGCCCATATACCACATTTTCTTGATCCATTTGTCTGTTTTGAGGCATTTAGGTTGTTTCCATCTCTTAACTATGGTAAATAGAGCTGCAATAAACATAGGCATGCAGTTTTCCCTTCAAATTTATGTTTCTGTGATCTTTGGGTATATTCTCAGGAGTGGAATCACTGGATCTTATATATGGTAGAGACATTTTTAGTAATTTGAGGACCATCCACACCATTTTCCATAGGGGCTGAGCCAGTTTGCATTCCCACCAGCAGTGTAAAAGAGTTGTTGTTTTTTTTTTTTTTCCATATCCTTGCCAGCATTTGCTTTTGCCAGGTTTTCTTTGTTTATTTGTTTTTAATGTAGGTCATTCTCATTGGTATAAGGTAGTATCTCATTATGATTTTGATTCACATTTCCCTGAATATAAGTGATGTTGAGCATTTTTCAATATACCTGTTGGCCATTTGCATTTCTTCTTTTAAAAAGTGTCTTTTTTGCTCTTCTGCAAAAGCTGGATTTATGTTTAAAATAGTAACATTTTTCACCAGCATAATTAGACATAAATAAAAGTATTAAACTGTTACAATTCACCAACATCTCCAGTAACCTTAGAATTTATAAGTTTTGTGCACAAATACTATAAAATCAAGTATTTATAAAATATTTTTCTAGCTTCTATGAAATGGGTTGCAGATAATTCATATATATGGATATGCATATATCTATATATATATATACACCTTGACACATGACATGCCTGTATATACATAGCTATGAAGAGAAAAAGAAAGTGAATGCTATTTTTTTCCTTCATACATAGGAATACATTCGTCACACATTTTTATATGTCACATGTTATTCAGATGTTCATTGAAAAGATTATAGTAAGACCTTTATGAGAAGAGTAAAAAAAAGACATAAAAAGAAAATCTGAGTATCCAGCAGAATTATATTTAAACCACAGCACATGGCCAAACGTTTTGGCAAACTCTGCAAATCTGACCCATATTACAAATGAGCAAAGGAAAATAATATTGAATAAAATTTCATAAAAGCAGAAAATGTAATACTTTTTATTTTAGTTGAAAAAAAATACCATTCAATTAGCAATTTTTCTCAGTGGTTGGAAAATCTGCTCTAACATCATCGATTATATCTGTACTCAGAATAATAGAGTCACCAAATGTAAAGGTGGCATGCTGGGTTTTAGAATCCTTGCATTGCCACCTTGCTAGTTGTGATCTTAGTGTGCTGCTTAATCTCCTTAAGTTTTCTATTTCTATATTATGAAAAGGGAAATATTTCCTCACAAGAATTAAATAAGATCTACAAGTAATATGCATAGTTTGTCACTTGCAATGTGATAAGCAATAATAAACAGGAATTTTCCTTCTTTCAAAGTTTTAAAGGTAAAGAAATTAGCCCAAAGCAGCAAATCCCTTTCCCAAAACAAATCTGTTGGTTAAAAGCTAAAGTGCATAAAATATGGAGATTCCAGAACTAATTTAGAATCTTTCTTTCATTCCTTCCTGTTATACTATCTATGGACAAGAAACTCAGATTCATTGAGGTTATTTCTCCATCTAAACATTGAGGATATTATTTTTTTCTCAGGATCTCTGGAGAAAAGATATGAAGTATTTGAAGTATCAATATCTGGCAAAGAATTTGCTCTCAAGAAAATAGCAGATTTTATAATCTAAGTTAATTCCCTTTACCTTTCATAGCACTACAAATAGTACTACTAATATTGCCTTTATATCTCATTCATCTACCATTGTAAATATAAATATGTCTCATTCATCTACCATTGTAAATATAAAAATTGTCTTTCTGCTTTATGTCTTTAAAAATGTAAAATAATCTGCATGGTGGACTCTATCCACCATGGGTGGACAGAAAACCCTTGGGCTTTACAGTCTAATTTTATGGACAAAAAGGATTTTAAAAAGGGCACCAAGAAGGTAAAAATGTCAAAGCAAACAATAACATTCATTTAAAATCATAGTTATAAAAATCTAGTTACTAAGAATCTATGCCTTGAATAATCCATTTGCTTTGTAAAAGAACACAGATCGTAATAATCGATAATATTTATTACGCTATTTCCTTATACCATCTCATTTAATTTTTACTGAAATATATGGTCCTATTATTTTTCCCATTTTACACATAAAGAAACAGATCTATAAAAGAGCACGTCTTGGTCACATAACCAAATGGTTTGTAAGGTGACCAACTATTCCAATTTTCCTGGAACTTTCAGATTCTAACACTAAAATTTCATGTCCAGGGAAACTCCCCAGTCCCAGTAAACTAGAATGGTCTATCCCCACATAAGGCAAAAGTCAAACCCAAACCTCTTTTAGTTAAAGGTAGAGCTACACGTCATTTAAAAAAAAAAAAAAAAAAACAGAACTGGTGATCAGGAGAGCCCTACATAACATTGAAAATTAATGATCATTCTTGTTAATTAAATCAGAAGATAAAAATTGTAGGCCTGACTGTCACTAATTACATATGTGCTGTTAACGAAGTTTAACCTTTCTGGCCTTTAGTATATTAGATAAAAAAATTAAATGGCTGTCTATAATGAACCTTAAGACCATGCTCAGTTCAGAAATACTCTGACTTCATAACAGTCATTGATAAAATCAGTGCTTAGACACAGCAAATACAGAAAATAAATAGAATACATGCGCACATATAACACCCTTAACTTTGAGTTTGTGTGTTCAACTAAGGGACAGAACTGCAACGAACCTACACTCTTGGATTGCTAACAGGTCACAGTTTGTCTCACATATTTCTTGAAAGAAGTTAATGACTGAAGAGGGTAGATACCGTTCTTTGGAGAGAGGGAAAAGAAGAACAAAGCATGCATCTAGTGGAAATTTAGCAACATTGAATGTAGCTGACCAAAGTTAATATAGGTGCTTAATTATCTACCCTGGGCATTAGAATTGCAGCTGCAAAAGTGTTCTTATATAACACAGGCTATATGATGAAAGACTTGATGTTTGTGACATTCTCTTTTAAGATAAAACAACTTAAGAGGTCATAAAGTGCACCATTTTTATTTTGATAATAAAAATGACAAAGCAGTAGATGTCTATATCTAACATCTACATTCAAAAACAGTGTCACAAGTGGCTTCTTGAAGTCTTCAGATAAATGTATATTTCATAAACAAATGGAATTTTATCTTATAGAAGGCAGGAAATTAAATGCCTTATTTTCCAAAGAAATAAAAAACTAACCACTCAGGTAACATGTATCTTATGTTATTACTTGGAAACAGCATTTTTGTTAGGGGTTAAGGGAAAAGATAATATTTTAATATTTCTAACATTTCTCAAAATATGATGCTCAAACCTCCTAGATGAGAATCACAGAAGGTGCTTGGTAAAATTCAGACTCTTACGCCCTGTTCCAGATCTGCCTAGTCAGAATCTCTATGACTGGGCCTAAGAGTCTTGTTAAGTCCCTACTCTGATTCTTACGCATACTCAAAATTGGGAGCTAATGGTTTTGACATTTCAGACATAGTCTAATAAGATTGTTTGGCCAAGTTCCTATTACAAAGATGTTCACTGCTGCTCATTTATAGTAATGAATAACTGAATGCAACTGAAATGTTGTACTGAAGGATTGATTGGCTTAATAAATTTAATATTATATTATGAAACACTATGAGCCTATCAAAATAATGCAGAAAATATGTGATTGTATTCATGATAATGTTGAGTGGGGAAAAACACATACTAAGTGATCTCATTTTTGTAAAGCAACACTAAAACAAAACAAAGCATATTATATTTACAGACAATTTTTGGAAAGGATATCCCACTTATCTAAAATGGCTTTCTCTGGGTACTGGTGTTGGTGGTGAAGCTTGTATTTTTGTCTATTAGTAAGTTTTATATTTGCTATAAAAATGAACCACTTTCAATAAATTATGTGGTTGCTGATAATCTCACAAGTTTTTTTTTAATATCACAAGTTTTGATAGTTGTTTTATGTATGTAAAGAAAATAAAATTTTATATAGAAAAATCCTCTTAAAATTTATGTACATTGACACTGTTGGTGAGGATTCTTCTTTCTGGATGCAAAGGAATTAGTTTGACCAGACTCCCTGCAGGCAGATGTAGACATATCAAGGATATTGCATTACATGCCAATCAAGTATTCTTCAGGGCTACATGAGCCCTAAATTATTTTCTATGTAAGTAATTTGACAGTAATATTTGTAGTTTCCTTGTTATAGCTATTGCTATATCATATATATTCATAT